TCCCTAGAGAAATGGGTGAAGGGGACTGATCATGCCATCTATGGCTGCGAGGACCATGGAAGCTAGGAATGCTTCGTTTCACCCCTTTGAAGGCTGATAATTCTGACGTAGTCATGTCAGCCTTGGTGGGTTTATAGCACTGGCTTCCGAGTGCATTAGCTTTCCTATATAAAGTCATCTAGCATTCTGCATTTTTTTTTTAGGAAACCCTGCAGTAAATCCTTTGGTAGACACCCCACCCCTGAAAGTAACAGGAAACTATTGCAGCAAAGTAGGCCATAAAGTACTATCAGTAGTATTTGGGAGTGAGTATCCAAGGGCCCTCTTATTAGATCTGTAAATATAGAAATGGGTGGAGTGTGAGCAGTTTCCTTGCTACAGCACCAGGTGACACTCTTCTCTCCATAGTTCTGCATCCTCCAGGCTCTGGTTCCCAGGCAGCAGCTATCAACGTTCAGACTCCTCCTAATGTGCCCAGCAGATCAGGCCTGCCCCACATGCACTCCCAGATGGAGCATCGTACCAGCCAAAGGAGCAGCTCCCCTGTGGGCCTTGCAAAATGGTTTGGCTCAGATGTGCTACAGCAGCCTCTGCCCTCTATGCCCACCAAAGTCATCAGTGTAGACGAACTGGAGTACAGACAGTGAGCAGGGCAGACAAGCTTACCCATCTGGACCTATGGTAGCATCCTGGCCATGATGCTCATTCCCTATCTTTATTTATGGGCTTTTACATTGGAGCACATTGTGAAGGGACCCACATACCTACCGTGATCTACATTATGAGGTTGTCAACCAATCAAATGGAGCTTACATGGTCCAAATACAAGGGACACAATATTATCAATCCTTGAAATCTTTCTTTTATAAAATATGTGAATGAAGTGTTGGTGTCTTCTAGAGGTGACACCTAAGGGTCTATACATTTTTTTTTTCAGAACCCTTATGTACAGACCTGTGTATAAACTTTTGTACATACGTATAGGATAGCTTTTTTGAACTTATACAGCTGTACATAAAGTAGCTATTAGTTAGGCCTGTGTCAACTGTTTGGAATTTTTTTCACTTGTATATTTGGGACCTTTTTCTTTTGATTTATTAAAAGTTGCATATGCCACGTGTGTGAACAAAATGACTGGTTCTGTGTTTATTTCCTCCATGAGTCTCTTGTTTCTAACACTCCAGTGCCACATCCTTAGTAGGGTTCTCTTTCACATTTTGTCTTACAAGTTCTATATTTTCCTGCATGTAAAGTTCCCATCGCATTAGTTTAAGTTGGGCTAAACCTCAAGGATATCAATATTTACCCTTTTCAAAATCAAATTGACCACATGAAAATCTGTTAGGGAAATCATGTATATGATAGTTTCTCTGAAACTTACTATTCCACCTTGTTAATTCAGTTTAACTCAATTTTGACCTGTTAATGTCTTGTCTTTCCCTTGCCTCTGCTGTGTTAGCTCCTCCTATACTGTATCTAGTCTTTCCACACAAAATTTTACTTAGAATCTAAAGTATTATATAAATTGTAGGAAAAGCATTCTGAAGGATAGTGTTATCCTGATGGTTTTTCAGTCCTAAACTTTATTTTTTTAAAGATTTATGTATTTATTATGTATACAATTATGCCTACAGGTCAGAAGAGGGTACCAGATCTCATTACAGATGGTTGCGAGCACCATGTGGTTGCTGGGAATTGAACTCAGGACCTCTGGAAGAGTAGTCAGTGCTCTTAACCTCTGAGCCATGTCGCCAGCTCCTAAACTTAGGATATAGACTGTGGCTCTCAACTCTGTTAGATTTTGTCTAATACAACCTGTGGCTCCCAAGTCTTGAGTCTCAGTGATACTGATTATAATCCTTCAATTGCCTACTCAGCCCTACTCTCGGAGAAGAAAGTGGTTGCCTTTCAACAAAACCTGGCTGTGAATTAAGCATGAGGGCAATCTGCTACTTCTAAATTAGGTACCCTCACCGACTGAGAAACTCGGTGTGTAGACAGACATGTGAGCCAGGAGTGGTGGGGTGAGGTAAGGAAGAACTGTCCACAGGGAATTACTTTGCAGGCTAAAGCTGCTGGAACAGATGAGACAGATGAAGGCACGGACTTAACTGGCACGGTAGAAGCCCACAGGGAACAGGCAAGATTCAAAGTGTAAAGAAGTGAGATAGATAGCCGTTAACACTATATTAACGCCAGGCGGTGGTTGGTGGTGCATGCCTTTAATCCCAGAACTCGGGAGGCAGAGGCAGGCGGATCTCTGTGAGTTCGAGGCCAGCCTGGTCTGCAAGAGCTAGTTCCAGGACAGGCTCCAAAACCAGAGAAACCCTGTCTAAAAAAAAAAAAAACCACTATATTAACTGGAGAAAAGTGGGAGAATCGTAAGAATTCAAAATCAGCTCTTAGGTAGTGAGGTTCAAGGCCAGTTTTGCCCACCTGAAATGTAGTCTCAAAAAATAGAGAAAAAAGTCTTCTAGCAGGTAAGAACCTTAGAGAAAAGTAGGCAGAAATGCATGGGGCAAAAGAGATCAGATATCTTAGCCAGAAGTATGCCTCATACATGCAACCCAATTACTCCATAGAGTTGAATTGAGGGATTATCTGCAGCTCGGGGTAGACATCCAGAGATTCCAGTTGGGGAAGAGTCTTTGGAGCAGCAGTGTGGTCATCTGGCATGTATAACTGACTTTAGAAGTATTTGAAACTAGGAAGATGGGGAAAGGGTTAAGAGAAGCTGAAGTGTGAGAGAAGCACACTAACCTACCTTCAGGCCTGGAGGGATGGCTCACACAGCTGAGGACCATTATCTGCTCCTCCAGGGGATTCAGGTTCCATTTCAAACACCCACATGATGGCTCTCATCCGCAATTAACTCCAGTTCGGGGCATAGGACACCCTCTTCTGGCTTCTGCAGTCACCAGGCACACATGTGGTGCAGACATACACAAAGGCAAAATACCCATATACATATTAAAAGATGAAAACCAAGATTGAGAGGGCAAGTGAGGTGAGGAGAGTAACAGTTGTTTCCCAAAATAAGCTGAGGAACAAGGGGTCCTTGGGAAGGCAGCAGGGATCAGAAGTGGCCAGGCCTTGCCCCTCTATTAACGTGTCCATTTACAAAGAGTTAGGCTAGTCAGGCTACTCAAAGACACTAGCCTCTTTCTGAGTTATACATACAAATGAGACAAAGATCACTTACAGGAATAAATACAGTTCTTGGGCTGGAGAGATGGCTCAGTGGTTAAGAGCACTAGCTGTTCTTCCAGAGGTTGTGAGTTCAATTCCCAGCACCCACATGGTGGCTCACAACCATCTGTAATGAGATCTGGCGCCCTCTTCTGGCATGGAGGCAGAATGTTGTATACATAATAAATCTTTAAAAAAAAGTTCTTCAGTTCTAGTCCCTTTAACAATTTAATGAAACAAACTGATTGATAGTCTTAGAGCTACATAGTAAGAGCATGTCTCAAAATCACTGTATTCCCTGTATGATGTTCAACTCAAGGCTCTAGCATTTTTTGATTTTGGGTAGCCAGCTGCCCAAAAAAGCCACCAAGCTGTAGTGAGTAGAGTAGGTGAGAGACCTAATGAAGGCATGACTTCTATGAAAATGCCCTTTCAATGATTACCCTAGCACTTCAGTCTTAAATGGTGCTTTAGCAGCCTAACTAAAAAATGGTGCAGAATAGTGGGTCTGCTTAGCTATACTAAAGCCAGGAAAACAAAATGGGAAATTTAACCCGTCATGAGTTTAACTCACACCTCCAGTCTCTTTGAGACCTCAGGAGAAAGGTCTTTGGCTCTAAGAACGCACCTCACTGGGTGTGGTAGATTATAAACATTTAATCTCTGCATTTGGGATGCAGAGGCAGGAAGGAGGCTTTCTCTAAATTTGAGGTCAGCCAGTTATATAAACCTCTCTCTCTCCTCTATAGACATCTATAGACAAGGTTTCTCTGTGTAGCCCTGTGTATCCTTGAACTCAACTCTGTAGATCAGGTTGGCTTCAAACTCACAGAAACCTGCCTCTGCCTCCCAAAGTGCTGGGATTAAAGGCAAATAACACTACACCACTGCTGGCTGAGACCCTCTAAAATCTGAAGGGGGAAAAAAAAAAAAAGAGTACACCTCTCCAGCAGACTGAGGCCGTAAAGCCTGAGTTTAACCTGAGACCCTATTTGGTTTAGGTCATGCCTATCTTGTGATAATGTACTTGGTAGCCTAGTTTCTGAACCACACATACTACACAAAAAAACCCTAGCTAAGCCGGGCGGTGGTGGAGCATGCCTTTAATCCCAGCACTCGGGAGGCAGAGGCAGGCGGATCTCCGTGAGTTCAAGGCCAGCCTGGTCTACAAGAGCTAGTTCCAGGACAGGCACCAAAAACTACAGAGAAACCCTGTCTCGAAAAAAATCCAAAAAAAACAAACCCTAGCTACCCTAGAACCCCTTTCAAACCCTCACCTGAATCAGGATACACATGTTCCCATCTTTGAACAATGATATGGATTTGCCAATAGTTAGTAACTGACTCCTACTGTTTATGAATAGAAGGGCTGGTCTGGTCTAACCTGATTCTGGGTGCATATGCAGTAATGCAACTGTCTTCTAAATAACTATTAGAGAAAATCTAATATACTTATTCATGATTGGTCATACAGATGGCTAGAATCAGATATAATTTGGGAAGTGACATACACAATAGGAAAAATTGAATATACAACCTATAAATGAAATGGAGAACCCCAAAGCAAGATATGGTGGCACTTGCCTTGAATTTTGCACTTTGTCAGGTAGAAGCAGTAGGATAGTCTGTGAGTTCAAGACCAGCCTGGTCTTCAATGCTAGTTTAAGAACAGTCAAGGACTGCAGAGACCTTGTCTCAAAACAAAGTAGATAGAGAACCCCAAACCCTCCTTTTTTTAAATTTTTATTTATTAAAAATTTCTACCTCCTCCCATTTCCCTCCCACAGCCCTCCTTTTTTTTTTTTTTTTTTAAAGACATCATGAGAGCTTAGGCTGTAGCCTTGGGTCCTTGAGTACTCCTGATAGTGTGTCCCTCGTTAACCTACACTACTGCTTTGCTCCAAACGGAGTTACCTTGAAGTGCAAATCCCTGGAAGGCCTTGGTTTCAATTCTTTGGATAAGAGGCCAAGAACCTGGCAACACCTGACCCGGATGCCAACCATGGGCAGCACTTTCCCAGCCAGTGTCCTGACACTAGCTACCTCTTCTCTTCAGACCATCAAGTCTAAGTCCCAAAGAGGGGAAAAGGTAAGCTCATGTTTGTTTTGGGGGATAGAGATAGCATTTCTCCATAAAGCCAGCTTTAACTATGCATGTCATTAAGCATGACCTCAAATTGCTAACCTTTCTGCTTCTATCTTGCTAACCCTTCTGCTTCTATCCAAACAGAACATTATAGGCATTTGCCACACCAGCCTAAAGGACAACTTCTCAAGGTGTGTGGGGCTGGCAACTGGGGGAGGGGTAACTGAGGCCTCGCAAAGGATTGGGACTGTCCTCTCGTCAGCATCCTGAACATGTTTAAGCAAAGTGAATCTTGCTTTGCTTAAGGAATCTCTCACTGGAGAACAAACCTAGCTAGAAATCCCCTAGCCCCGAAAGTCAATTCTTTGTTGTTGTGTTTGGTAGGCTTTCCCGGTTATACCCATCAGTGACTGTCCAGTGACAGACACCAGTCTGTGTTCTGAAGAGTGACTGGCCTGGGACAGGTGAGCCAACCTGTACCAGAGGACAGTGCTGAACCCAAAGAAAGGGAATAGTCCACTCTAGGGCAGCAGGAGGGCAAGCCTGAGCAAAGGGGAGTTCGTGGGAGGCCACACCTTCACTCAGATTGATAAAGGTTCTAGCTCATCTCCCTTGAAGACAAGCCTGTTCTTGTTTTTCTCAAGGCCTCCTCTACTGTCCTTGCAGATCACATTAAAATAATCTTCCAGACAAGTGATTCAGCAAGAATTCTCTTGTACCTATTGCCCACCTTCTCACTAAGCCATGACGTGATTATTGCCAACCATCAAAAGATAATCAGGACAGTCAGCTGACATTCTTGTCTTCCCAGGGCTGCATGTGCTCTCGCCAGTAGTTTTGTTATTGTTGCTTTTTGTTGTTTTTCGAGACAGGATTTCTCTGTGAAACAGTCCTGGCTGTCCAGGCAGTCACTGTAGACCAGGCTGGTCTCAAACTCACAGAGCTCTGCCTGCCTCTGCCTCCCAAGTGCTGGGATTAAAGGCTCGCACTGCCACCAATCAGCTCTCCAGTAGTCTTAATGAACCTCCCCCCTCCCATTCCAGGGATGTGTATCCACATGCCTATTCTGGTAAGAGCAGCCACCTCACTTCTCATGTCCCCTGCTTTCCTCCAAGTTACATAGTCAACAAGAGGTTGCCAAAGGATTAAAGTCAAAGTCTCTTAGCTTGGAGGTCCTGGTGACATGACTGTGATAATACACACCTGTGCTAAGTCTATGGCAGGCAATGAGCCCAGTTTAAAAAAAACAAAAACTGAGCAACAACAGGAACCAAAATATACTGAGTATTTTTATAAGATTGACACTGTGCTAAGCAACTTCCAAAACCCACCCCTAATACCAGCACCACAACCTTAACAGTTAATGCCATTATCCCTGTATTACATGATGAAACGGAGGCTTACAAAGGCTGAGTAATCTTTTTAGGTTTCTATACAACTCAAACCCCACTCTGCTCCCCGACCACTCAACTGCTATCTTCCGTAACAGATCAGCACTGGAGGAAATAAGCAGATAACTTCAGGATATCCTTCCCCTCACTAATGTCCTAAGATCACCTGAAGGCAGAGGCCACACCAGGTGAAAGAGCCTCTCATTACTGTCCCTCACACAGGACAGCACAGTTATCTGGTTCCCGCTCTGCAGCCGCCTGCCTGTACATACAGCTGTTTCCTCATTCAGCTGGACCCACAGCAAATCTGACAATGACACACAGTCAATGGGCCCACCAGAGTTTTTATACAGTTCAAGACACTGACACCAAGGTAAGAAAGGCAATGTTGCTGAGATGCTGGTACACACTGGCAAGCCCAGCACTTGGGAGATGGAAACTGATGGATAAAGAATTCTAGGTGAGCCTCAGCTACAGAGTTCAAGGCCAGCCTGAAATAAATGGGACCCTACCCCCGCCCCCAACAAAGACAAATGATGTTCTACTTTGGAGTCTTCATCTCCATTCCTGTACCCCAATCCAATGGCTGCTAAATACAGAAGGTTGAGAAGGGTACTTGGTGCTAAAGGAACATTGCTGTGGCTGGCCAGCAGAAGGGGAGGCAGGTTCACTTCTTCACAATCTGAATGACGTCCTCATCTTCCAATGTATGGTCTTTACCCACTTTCTGAGGATTATGCTTCACAGAGAGACCCCAGACCAAAGCACTGTAGCAAAAGGAATAAAGGCAGTCAGTGGCAGTAACAACCAGCTTTAGCTCTAGTTGCCTAGGTTCCAGTCTTAGCAGACTGAGCATCCTAACTCTTAAGACACAGACCTACAACAGACAAAAGCCTTCTTCCAAACTGGGACACTCAAAGCTACTTCCACAGTAGTGTCGTGCACTAGGACTTCATACACCAAGACAATGCTTTCAGAACTGCTCTCATTCCATAGTCAACTGAAGAAAGGCAAAACAGTGAGGGGGCTGAACCAAGAGTGGTGGCGCACACCTTTAATCCTAGTACTTTGCAGGCAGATCTGAGTGCGTTCAAGCCCAGCCTGGTTTACAGAGTGAGTTCTAGGACAGCTAGGACTACACAGAGAAACCCTGTCTTGAAAAACAAAACAAAACAAAAATCAAAACAAAAGAGATGGCTGAGCAGTTAAGTGCACTCCAGAAGACCCAGGGAAGCTTCCAGCACCCCTTGTTTCTAACCAATAATGCTGGGCTTACAGGCAATTGGGGCCAAGCAGTTTTTATGTGAGAGCAGGGGATTTGAACCCAGGTCTTCTTGCTTTCAATGCACGCATTCTTATCCACTAAGCCACTGGCCATGCCCTAAAATCAATATCTGCCAAATAAAAGGTGAGTGAGGGAGGGCCAGGCAGGAAACTGAGTCCCAGCAAACACTCCTGAGCTAAACTAAAGAGGCTTCTGGAACTCTCTTGCTCCAGTTAGGTAGGCTTGCCTTTAAGGAGACACTGAGAGGGGGCTGGCTCAGAGGTTAGAAGTATATGCTGCTCTTTCAGAGAACCCAAGCTTGATTCCTTGTAATTCCAAGTGATCTGATAATGCCTTCTAGGCTCTGTACACATGTGGTACACATACATACTAAGGCATATACACATACACATGAAATAAAAATAAACATCAAGAGGGAAGGCGGTCATGTTGGCACAAGCCTATAATCCCAGTTGTCAGGAAGCAAAGGCCAGCCAGGGATACATAGTACAAATTATTTTTAAAAAAGGGGGGCGGGGAGGGATCCCTTCAAGAAATCCCTTCAGCGGCATCTTTGTTACCTGGTTTCTATAATCCTCCTCTAAGAATTACTACTACTATTAGTGAAACCAGTAACTCACAGGGAAGTACCACATGTCATGATACTTACTATTTAAATTCTTTGATAAGATTTTTGTGAATCTTCATGCAGAAATCTTCCACCGTGGTCCTGGAGTATGGCAGCACCACCGGGGAGGTGTAATCTGGTAGCTGGCCTTTGGGCTTGGTATAACTACAACAGAGGAAAGACAGGCTGCCATGTGTTGAATATACACGACCCTCTACCACCTCTGCCAGCAGGCCAAGTGACCTCCAATCTCCTCAACAGGAAACAGGCTACTTCTACCTCTGAAACAGACACATTCTGTTAAGGAGCCCCGATGCCACCATTAGGACTCACATTCTCACTAGTTTCAGATAGTCCCAGATCTTCTCCAACAGGTCATCAAAATTCCAGCGGTGATGGGCAGAAATGGGCACACAGTGAGGAACCTTATAGATAATATCCAATTCCTCAATGGAGATCTGATCAATCTTATTCAATACATAGATACAGGGGATATAAACTCTACAGAGGAGAAGAAGAAAAGTTATTAACTTGGAGCTGCTGATAAAACAGCCTGAATACTTAGCACTCCCCCAGAGGCCTCAAAAGCCATCAGCACCGTCCATTTACAGGAAGTAGCAGGCAAAGCACCTTCCAGCAAACCTGAACCCAGGATGATCCTAGAACTCACTAAGGTGCAAGGAGAGAACAAACTTCACAAAGTGTCCTCCGACCTCCAAGTAGGGACCATGACACGCACTCAAGAATACCGCCCCCACCCCCACCCCCGACACACACACACCACTACAAACACAAACCCACAATATGCATGATGCTGAGCAGACAGGAGCCCTGGCTCTCTCTCCCAGAGGACTTAGTGGTTCCCAGCACCCACACTGCATAGCTCATTACTTCCTGTAGTCCAGTGGGGACACCTTCTTCTGGCCTGCTTGGGCACTTGCACACTGGTGCAGACACATACACATAAAAGTAAAAGTCCAAAATCTGAATTATAGATTGTAAAATAAAACTCAGGCCCCAGTTTCAAACATAATGCCAGTCCTTGGAATTAATTTTTTTCTTTGTTTCTAAAGAAGACAAAACATAGTGGCACATGCCTGCCATCCTAGCACTGGAAGGCAGAGGAAGGGGCATCACCAAAAGTTAAGGGGAAGCTTGATGATCGACTCAGAGTTCCAGGACAGATAGTGAGCTACTGTTAACCCCTCCACCCCCCCGCCCAAAAAAAGTTTAGTGTTTAAAAACTGTCGTAAGCTATAACTCATGATTCAGTCTCCCCTACCATGCACAAAGTCCAGCACCGGCTGAAAGGAACATAGAAATTACAGGTATATATGCTGAGCACTGGTGGTGGTAACACACCTTTAGTTTCAGCAGAGACAGGTGGATCTCTAAGGTACATAGAGAAACCCTGTGTCAAAGAAAAAAACAAAAAAAACAAAAAAAAAGAAAGAAAGGGAAGGAGGAAGGAGGGAAGGAAGGAATTATGGGTTTATCTTTGGGTAGCTTTTTGGAACCTATCTTGGAACTCTGTAGACCAGGCTGGCCTCAAACTGAGATCCGCCTGCCTCTGCCTCCCAAGTGCTGGGATTAAAGGTGTGCGCCACCGCTGTCTGGCTTTAAGTAGAGCATTTAGTACTATTACAGTCCTAGTGTCCAATCAGTACGACAGTTAAGATCACTAGTAGTCACACAAGCTGCAGCTTCTCAGACTCAGTGATTCACTCCTAAACTGTCCAACTGCACTCATTTGTTTCCGTTTGACTTAAATTCCTCAAATAAAAAAATAAGAAGATTCTGTGTTAATGTTAGGAATAACTTCAACAAAGTGGTTTAAATTACTCAAGTGCTAACAGTAACAGTGTTTCATACAACAAGTGTTCAGCCACATAGTTAGGATGCATGGAAGAGACACATCTTGGTGCTCTGATTTGTGCAAGGTGGCCTATATGATGGCTCAAGTAGTAGTAACTGGAGAGAGCGGACTGACCTGACCAACTACTGCTGACAGAAGAGCTTAAGTAAGCAGCAAATAACCCGAGCAGGGAATAACACCATCTTTAATCAAACTGCAGAGCAAGGAAGAAGTCAGAAATGAACTTCAACCCGCATGTGGCACTCCATTCCTACCTAACCACTGTTAGTCTCCCTCTAACTTCAACCCAGTCACAACACACCAAGTACCTGTTTCCTTCTACCACATCAATGAGGTCATCCGCTGTGGCATCACTCCGCAACGTCACATCAGCATTGTGAATTTTGTATTCAGCCAGAATGCTCTTCACTGTTTCAGCATCTAGTTCACTCTGAGGGCACTGAATGGAGAGAAAAAAAGACCAATCAGGGAGGATGGGGACCATGTACTCTTCTTTATTGGGAGACGGGGTCTTACTATGTAGCTCTGCCTGTCCTGGAACTCAAAGAGATCAACCTGTCTCTGCGTGGGTGCTGGAATTAAAGTCAGGTACCATCATATCCAGTCTCTCTGTACTTTTCTCTTTTTGACTGCTTTCAAACAAAGGATGATCTAGATCCTCCTAAGTATAACTAACTCCCAAGTGCTTGGATCACAGACATGCAATACCAGGCTCTGTCAATGTGGTACTGTGAACTAAACAAGGCTTTGTGCATGCTAGGCAGGCATCCTACCTACTGAGCTACATCTCAGCCCTGTGCCTGAAAACTTCTAGCCAAAATGTAAACTCACTACATTGCCCTGACAAGAGTAACTAACTTACAGTAGACCTACAAAGCTTTCTAAACTCAGGCAGGTGTAAAATGTGCTGTGTCCTGCACACAGCCCAGTCCCCAAAATTCATACACTCAAGTCTTATGTTACAATCATCGATGACACCATCTTTAAGAAGATAATAAGAACAGGATATTAAGGTAAAGTCCTAATTCAATATCAATCTAGCAATCACCTTTGTCCATCAAGAAACCAAATAGCTATGAACAAGTTATAGCACACTAATTCAAAGAACTCTCAAGGTCAGGTATCAAGGCAAAATAAACAGGAAGATCTTTCAGAAAAGAGAGCTTAAACCTATTTTAATCTGAACTCTGAGGAAATTCTAAGACCTTAATTCACTGACCAAAACAGCAACTGATAAAGCTGCTTGCTCCCATTCTGTCAGAAAGACTGTCTTTATTGGATCTCCGACAGTCTAATTTTCTACAGTTTTCCTTCTCCCACTTTATCTTAAACAGTTTTCTTTTCTTTCTTACCAAGGTAGTCTCAAACTCACAAAGTGCCTGCCTCAGCCTTCCACGTGCTGAGATTAAAGGCGTGCGCTGTGCGCCACCACTGTCCACCATACACATAATTTTAAAAAAGAAAATGCAGTTTTCAGGGTCAGTAAGATGCTCAGTAGGTAAAGGGGCCTGCTGCCATTCTGAGGACCCACACGGCTGAGAGAACGGATTTCTGCAGCCTCTCCTCCGACCTCCAACCGCCACAAAACACATGGTGTGTGTTGCCCACCCCACCCCACCCCACCACTCCTACCTGACCCTCCCCTCCTTTTTATTTTTGTAAAGAAGTCATTGCTTAGCTTGTCCTTTAAGGACAGAATCAGCAGGCAGTGAAAGGCAGGACTCTCTGAGTTCGAGGTCAATGTGGTCTCCACAGAGACTTCCAGGGCAGCTACAGCTTCATAGTGTGATGCTGCCCAAAGAACCCTCCTCTGGCCTCTAAGCCCCAGGCACACAGCAGGGCACTAATGTATCATGCAGGCAAGGCAGCCATATGCATAAAATAATGGGGAAAAAAAAACACCTCTTTGTTTTTGTTTTTCAAGACAGGTTTTCTCTGTGAAGCCTTGACTGTCCTAGAACTTAAGAGATCTGCCTTCCTCTGCCTCCTGGGTGCTGGCATTAAAGGTGAGCCACGAAGCTGGGAAAAGCCTTTTGTTTTTGAGACAGGGTTTTGGTATGTGGCCCACTCTGATCTGAAACTCACAACTGCTATGTCTCAACTTCCAAACTGCTAAGATGACAGGAAGATGACAACACACTCCAAGCCATCAGCTCTTCACAGGAGTACCAGAATAACCTCTTAAACCAATTCAACACAAAAGCTAAAGTCTGCTGTAAAGCATGTGCCTGTTATTCTAACATTTAAGAAGTGGAAGAAAGAGGATCAGAAGTTTTATATAAGGCTAGCCTGGTATATAAAAGAACTTATCTCAAAACACTAAAAATTATAAAAGTTAAACATGGGGCTAGAGAGATGGCCCAGTAGTTAAGAGCATTTGCTGCTCTTATAGAAGCCCCAGTTTCAGCCCCCAGCTCCCACATAGCAGCTCACAACTGTCTGTAATTTCAGGTATTTGATACCCTCTTTCAGTCTTTTCAGTGCTGTGGAATATTAGTGTAAGATGTATTACATCCATCTATGCTCTGGAACATTTATTTAATGATGCAAAAATGAGTTGCCTTTTTTTTAATGTTGCATTTGTTTAACACTGTGAAGCTGTATTACGCTGCTTATCTAAAACACCTGATTGCCCTAATAAAGAGCTGAACAGCCAATAGTAAGGCAAGAGAAAGGACAGGAGGGCTGGCAAGCAGAGAGAATAAATAGAAGGAGAAATCTGGTCTGAAAGAACAGATCAGAGAAGCAAGAGAAGGGAGAGGACTCGAGGGGCAGCCACCCAGCTACACAAATAGACAAGGAATAAGAAAGAAAGAAAAGATATACAGAACAGTAAAACAGAGAACAGTAAAAGCCCAGAGGCAAAAAGTAGACGAGATAATTTAAGAAAAGCTGGCTAGAAACAAGCTAAGCTAAGGGCGGACATTCACAAGTTATTCTTAAGTCTCCGTATGTGATTATTTGGGGCTGGGTGGTAGGCCCCCCAAAAGAGTAAAGAATAAAAACAACAAAAGCATCTTAGGCACCACACATACATGATATGCACATATGCAGGCAAAACACTTGAAACAAAAATGAAAAAAAAATCTTCAGAGAAACCAAAAACAAAAGGCAGTCAAGGTCATTCCACAGGTCAGAATAATATTATGCAAGGAGCTCATTTCTAGCTTGTTCATTCTGCTGCTTTCATGTTTCAATCTCAGGAACTTACACTTGGCTCTCCTCTCCAACACACATCCTTCCCCAAGATATTCACTGACTGCCATTCTCATGTCACCTCAGCCAGTGTTTTTGTGAACTTAGAAAGGTAACCCTGTGGGTCATAGTAGCCTAAGTCTTTAATCCAGCACTCAAGAGGCAGAGGCAGGCAGATCTTAAGTTCTAGACCAGCCTGGTCTACAGAGTGAGTTCCAGGACAGCCAGGGTTGTTACACAGAGAAACCCTGTTTTGGGGGGGGAAAAAAAAAGAGAAAAGTAGCCCTAGAGTCGGGGGCTGAAATTAAGCGGGTAGAATGCTTATCCAGGATGCACAAAGCCCTGGATTCAATCCCAAGAAACCCCAGAAACCAAGCATGCTGGAAAACATCTGTCCTCCCAGCTCTCAGGAGGCAGAAGCAGGAGTATAAGAAGTTCAAGATTATTCCCAGCTACATTGTAAATTTGAGGCCACCCTGAGATACATGAAACACAGTCGGGGGAGATGGGGAACACACAGCTTCCTCACCTTTCCCTGCTTTATTAATCTAGCACACTGCATCTTTCTCATTAATTGTTCATTTACCCAAAAATGAGGGTTCTCGACTACTCCATGCCTTCCTGGCGCCACTTCCAGAGCCTAGGCCAATGCTTGGTCTCTGGTCAGGGCTGTATAAGTCAATGATAAACGAGAGCACAGGGCCCTGGGAGCTACTTCATGGGAATATTGTTCCAAATGCTTGAAAAAGTCAGTCTGAGGATGACTCCTGTCTAGACCTTGTTTTTCTTATCTTTTAATACAAGGTCACTGAATTATCTCAATGAGAACAGGAAAAGAGGAGAACAGTTTCAAGTTATCAATTTCTGCACATGTGAATCCCCTTTCACGCCAACCCTCCAGTCGGTACTCTACCCATGTCATCTTCCCCACTTACAGTGGCTGTGAGATTAATGCCTCCCTTGTCTTTCTTCTTAAAGCCAATGTTGGGGGGCTTGCTGTTCAAGCGAATCCCAAAGCCTTCCAACTCATTTTCAATTATCTTCTTATGTCCCAAGGGTTTTAGGACATCCAGAACAATCAAGATCAAATTACATGTTCGGGCCACTGGGGGTAAAAATGACACCCTAAGTTGAATGCATACAGCCTTTACCAACCCAAAAACTCAAATTGAGGTGTTTTCTATCTAACCCCAGACTGAGATTTTTTTCTTGCTCTTATATACAGATAAAATGTGAAAGTTACCAAAGATTTATATTAGCTATCAATCTGTAGTGCATGAGTTAAAGTTGTCAAACCATCCCCCGAAAAGTGGCCCGTCTTAAGCATAAGTAAGACAGTCACACTAAAGATATCAGCTGAGGGATAAACTACCAAGAAACTTAGAAATGTTTTTAAAATACAAACTCATTTAAAATAATAAACCTTAAAATCCACACTCTAAAATAAAATCCAGATTACATTATCTGTATTACATGAGCACAGTCATGTATTTGGTTTGGTTTTGATTTGGTGTTAAGTGTTTGCCTGAATATCCCACAAAGGCCAGAAGATCCCCTGAAATTGGAGACAGAGGGTTGTAAGTTACCATGTGGGTGTTCAGAATCCAAACTTGGATCCTCTGTTAGGCCAGTCAGTGCTCGTAACCACTGAATCATCTCTCCAGTTCTCAAGTAACATACATTTAATCTGCCTTATCAAACTACACTTTACAAAAACAAACTGTATCTGTTTAGCAGATGATTTAATAATATCAGCACACTCGTCAAAATACAGTGTCAAGATAGTAAAGACAGGTGTGGTGGTGGACACTTGCAATCCCAGCATGAAGATCAGGACAACTAGACTATGAGAGACCCTGTCAAAAATAAGTCAGTCAGGGGCTGGAGAGATGGCTCAGAGGTTAAGAGCACTGACTGCTCTTCCAGAGGTCCTGAGTTCAATTCCAGCAACCACATAGTGGCTCACAACCATCTATAAAGAGATCTGGTGCCCTCTTCTGGCGTACAAGCATACATGGAATGTTATATACATAATAAATCAATCTTAAAAAAAAAAAAAGTCAGTCAAAACATAAAGAACATTCAAATCACCCTGGAAAGTTACACCAGTTTTAGACCACTTCCTTGCCAAGCACTTACTAGCATCATAGGAAGTTTTACTTTTTAAAATTCCACATAGAGTAAAATAAAAATGTCCCCTTTTCTGCTTAAATCTTTTCTTCTAGCACTTCTTAATATTCAAGCACATTGTGTTTGTTATCAGTAAACTTGTGTCTTTTTTTTTTTTTTTTTTTTGGTTTTTCGAGACAGGGTTTCTCTGTGGTTTTGGAGCCTGTCCTGGACTAGCTCTTGTAGACCAGGCTGGTCTCGAACTCACAGAGATCCACCTGCCTCTGCCTCCCGAGTGCTGGAATTAAAGGCGTGCGCCACCACTGCCCAGCAACTTGTGTCTTATAACTGAGTAGTAAACTATTACCTGCTAGTCACCTATGGAGGAATATATAATATATATATATATATATTATTTTCAATTTGAAAGCATAATTTGGGTCTGCTATAAACAGTCATATATTTGGAAGGCAGAGTCAATCAGATTTCTGTGAGTTCAAGGCCAACCTGGTTTACAAAGCAAATTCTGGAGCACTTAGAGCTGTTATGCTGAGAAACCCTGGGGTGGGGAGGGGGAGAATGCTCATCCCCAAGTCTTTCTGTTGTCATGTTTTCATTTTTCCTAGATAGACACCAGTGAAACTGTTGCACATCACAAATAAAAGTGACCAGAACCTGCTAAACAACTGAGAGTGTTTCTAAGTTTATATTCCCACTAGCGGAGTACATCACACCCTTCCCGCAGGCAGTGGTGTTACCAGTATTTAATGACTGCTCTCCATGGCGGCAATGACCAACAGCCGGGCGATGGTGGCGCACGCCTTTAATCCCAGCACTTGGGAGGCAGAGGCAGGTGGATCTCTGCAAGTTCGAGACCAGCCTGGTCTAAAAGAGCTAGTTCCAGGACAGGCTCCAAAGCCACAGAGAAACCCTGTCTCGAAAAACCAAACCCCCCTCCCCCCAAAAAAAAGACCAACAAGGCTGAATCTTTCTGTGTACTCACTGGTCATTCACACCATCCCCTCTCTCATCCTCTTTACTTCCCTCCACCTCTCTTTTGACCATCTGACCTATGTAAGCTCTGTTTGGTCCTCCTTGACATACTGGACTGACAGCTCTGAAACAGCAAATCAAAATCAATATTCCCTTCTTCTAATGTGACATAATCTGTTACAGCACCAAACGCATCATGTATCTAAGTCTGGGGCTGGTGAGATGGCTCAGCGGTTAAGAGCATTGCCTGCTCTTCCAAAGGTCCTGAGTTCAATTCCCAGCAACCGCATGGTGGCTCACAACCATCTGTAATGAGGTCCGGTGCCCTCTTCTAGCCTGCAGACATACACACAGACAGAATATTGTATACATAATAAATAAATAAATATTTAAAAAAATATTTTTAATATTATATCTCTGGGTGAGAAAGATGACTCAATGGTTGAGAACACATGCTGCTCTTGCCAAGGACCTAGATTTGGTTCCTGGCATTCAGAACCATCCATAATCCCAGTTCCAAGGGATCCAATGTGCTCTCTTCAGACCTCCATGGTCAATGAGCTACACACACAGACAAAGCACACACAAAAATAAAAATGAACAAAACTAAGGAGGTATGGATTTATAAAACATCTTCAAGGCTGGGGGGATAGTTCAGTAGGTAAAGTGCTTGTATCAGGACCTGAGTTTGATCCCAGAATTCATGCACAAAAAAAAACAAAAACAAAACAAAACAGCAAGAAACAAAACCAGGCTAGGCATGGTGGCAGGCACTTATATACTCCAGTTCAAGAGGATACAACCACCTCCCCAGCCTCCCCAGGGACCAGGCAGACATGTGGGGCACATACATACAATGCAGGCTAAGTACTACTTATGAACAAAACATAAAAAATAAACCTAAAAAGGTTTTAAAGGCAAATTAGAATCTATCAAAATTAAAGAAGATTTCTACTGAACAAAAAAAAAACCCACATTGGAAAAAAATCAATAAAGATGACATCTGAAACATCCAGAACTTACAGAGGTGAAGAACTAGACCATTGCTATCCAACAGAAGCTACCTGTAATATCTGCAGACGGCAGCCCCAGACCACTCACCTGCAATGACTTGACGACCTCTGCCTTTCCCATCCTTGGCACCTTCAATAATACCTGGGAGATCCAATAGCTGCAAGATTAAGAACAGGGAAAAGGAACTGGTTATAAATGTGAATGGATCAATCATACTGACAAGTATCCTCTTTTGAAAACCACTATTTCTCTGGTCTCCAAAATTTATGAGACCCAAATCCAACCTTTCATTGTGCTGGGAGCAGAGATCCTTGTGCTCACAGGTATCACTAGGGAGACCAGGAATGTTAAACAAGCAGGGCTGTCTGTTTAAAGGAAAAGATGTTTTCTGCCCAGAAGGCTGGGGAAAGAGGTGGCTAAGAGCCTGGGGATCTTTGCACTATCTGTAAGGGCCAGGCCATGCCAAACTCCCACAAGTAGGACCAGAGGTGGCTGATAGCCCAGACGACCAGATCACACCAGATCTTCCCCTAGGCCCTTAAGATAATACAGGCATCCTACCTCCAGAATCCATCTTTGAGAGGACTTTTGATGTATATGCCTCCGTGTGCACAGGGAACTACGTTACATCAGAAAACGTTTTTCCAAATGGTACTGTTTAATTACGCTTAATATAAATCACTCAGTGTGAAACTCTAGATGTTTGAACCAGAAGCTCAGTGGTTATAAGCACTGGCTGCTTTTTCAGAGGTTGTGAATTCAATTCCTATCATCCACATGGTGGCAGCTCACAACCGTCTATATCTGTAGTCTCAGAGGAACCAATGCCCCCTTCTGATGTGCAAAAGTACATGCGGACAAAACATCCACATACATAAAATATATAATAAATCTTTAAATAAAAAAAAAGCTTGAACACCAGCTCTTAAGTGTTGAACTACAATTTCTTCTTCTTTTACCAAAACAGGGTTTCTCTGTGTAGTACTGGCTATACACGTTGTAGACCAGGCTGGCCTCTAACTCCGTCTCTGTGTCCCAAGTGCTGGGGTTAAAGGTGTGCACCACCACAGGCTAGATTTCCTTTTTGCTTCATTTGAATCCTTACTTTCCCAGGCTCGGTGGTCACAGAGACACCGCCCCCCCCCATATTTGAGATCACAGAGTATTATGGAATCCCAGTTGTTCCTGAAATCAATAAGTACCTGAGATGACCTTGTACTTCTGGACCTTCCATACCTCCACCCACTTTCTAAGTTCTAGAATGGCAAGTACTAAAACACCCATTTTATCAAATCCAATCTTCCTGACTAGTAAGTGATGCTGGAATGCTATTTCCCTTAGCATAAACTAAAGGTCAGCTACAGGCTACTTCCCACTGCAAGCTGATTATCTAGACTAGCTGAATGGGAAGCTGAGTTCGAGTAAAAGACCCTGCCTTGATATATAAGGGGGAGAATGAATGGCAAAGATACCTGTCCTCCATACACACATGCCCACAAACAAGCGTATACACACACACATCACACCATGCATACACATGACTAGGTAAAATAAGAGTAAGCAAGCACACATTACATCATCTTGACCATGACATCCTTTTGCACTTTTTCTTGTGATTTTCAATTTGTTCAACAAATCACACTACAATCCCAGCACACAAGAGGCAAAGGCAAAGCAGGCCACTGAGCTTATGGCCAGCTTAGCCTACCTAGAAAACCACATCCCCAAAGAAAAAGGAAACAAGGTGAGGGCTTATATAAAAAACATAAGGAGACAACAAAAGGAATTTTCTAATGGTCAAAGCTGGTAAAACCTAGGTAATAATAGTACTGAATTTTGGGGGTGGGTTAAGACAGGGTTTCTCTGTGTAGCCCTGACTATCCTGGAAATCTCTCTGTAGACCAGGTTGGCCTCAAACTAAGAGATCTGCCTCCTCTGCCTCCCAAAGTGTTAGGATTTAAGGCATGCACCACCATTTACCAGCTAATAGTACTGAATTATAACACATAAAATAAAATATCCATAATCCCATTGTTATAAATTATTGAATAAGTAAAAGAAGGGCAGCTCTTTCATACAGAAATCCAATTAACAAATGTAATGGAAAGAACTGAATGTCACCATTAGGCAAAGTGATATAACAGCAACAATTGTTGCAAAAACAGACGCCACAATGAGTAGACAAAAGTTTAAGGAATGTGCTTGATTGCACAGGATATACAAACATTGTAACAATACAGAGAAGGTTAGGCAGTTAGAGAACTCGCTCTTGCAGAGGACATGGGTTCATTTTCCAGCACCCCCATGGTGACTCAAAACCATCTGTAACTCCACTTCCAGGGACTCCAACAACCTCTTATGACTCTTCAGGCAACAGACATGCAAGTGGTACACAGGCACACAAGCAGGAAAACACATGAAAAAAATAATTAAATAATTTTAATAAAATGAAAGCATGAGAATCAGAACTGGAATGTGGATTTTCTCAGAATATCTTCCCTGAACTAGTAACTAGATTTGTAAAGAAAACATCTCCGTTCAGAAGCTCTGCAAACACCATCTATCGCTTGCCCTCTTTTTTTTTTTCTTATGGTTGTTTCAGACAGGGTCCCTTGCTGTTCTTGTAAGGTAAAAGAGACAACTGGAGCAGGAAACCAACCAATCACTGAGCACACTGACTCTGAGCCCAGAGTCAGAAAAAAAACAAAAACAAAAACACATGCTGGATCTGAGACCTGGACCAGGGAAAGAAACATCTTTATCACTGAACCCAGGACTAAAGACACGTGCCCTGACCCTGAAACTAGTGTCAAACACACTTTGTCCCCAGAATCAGAGCCACTGAAAGAAATATGTATGCTCTGGTCCTAAGATTGGAGTCAAAAGCTAAAAAGAACTAGTGAAAGAAACACAATTTGACCATAAAGTCACAGCTATTTCTGCCCTGACCAACTAAGCTAAGCAATCCCTGAGCAGGTTAAAACTAACCAATCCCTCGTCTCTCTGGGAAAACTCCGCCACCTAAGAAGCCCTATATAAGTCTCTCTGCCCCCTTCAGTTAGGGGCCACCACTCTCCTGGACTCCTTCCCAAATAAATCTCTTTCCCAAAACAGTCTTGGATGACCTTCATTCGCTAGGCAGACTAGAAGAACCATTCTTATGGGACTGAGCTGAAAAACCTTGTTGAGAAGCTTCCCTAAAGGGCCTGAGCAAGGCGGAACAGAAAAGAACTTTGCTAAGACGCTCCTTAAGGGGGCTGAGCAAGGCGGATCAGAAAATAGTAACAACTTTTCAACAGAGCAGGAGGAGATTGCTACAGTTCTACAGGGGCTTCCCCTTTAGCAGAGTGTTAGCAAAGAAGAAACATCTTTGGCTGGAGAAGAAGCAGATAGCTCTGCTAGGACACTTCCTTAAGTGAACAGAGCAGAGCTCAGCTGTACTGGCTCTGCAGGAGAGCAGGATCCCAATATCCTGCAGGGAGACCATCCCCCACTGCACCCTATCTTCAGGTAGCCTGGCTTCCCAATTGTCAGCTGTCGTCCTATTGGGGCTCTACCCCCCTCCAGAGCTGTCATATTGGGGCTCTAAGTATAGCCTGGCTTCCCTGTAAGTCAGGATATCTCTGCAACACTACAACTGTAACACATTCCCAGACAGTCCTGGAACTCATTCTGTAGACCAGACTGGCCTGGAACTCACAGAGATCTGCCTGCCTCTGCCTGAGTGCTAGGATTAAAAGTGTAAGCCACCCAGCTGCAAACACCATCTTAATGAACTCACATAAATTAACATCAAACCAGTTAGAACTCCCACTACAGATGCAAAGACAGAATCTTAAGCTCAAAATCAGGTTGAGGGGCTGGAGAGATGGCTCAGAGGTTAAGAGCATTGCCTGTTCTTCCAAAGGTCCTGAGTTCAATTCCCAGCAACCCCATGGTGGCTCACAACCATCTGTGATGAGGCCTGGTGCCCCCTTCTGGCCTGCAGGCATACACACAGACAGAATATTGTATACATAATAATAATAAAAAAAAAAAAAAAGGCCGGGCGGTTGTGGCACACGCCTTTAATCCCAGCACTCGGGAGGCAGAGGCAGGCAGATCTCTGTGACTTCGAGGTCAACCTGGTCTACAAGAGCTAGTTCCAGGACAGGAACCAAAAAGCTACGGAAAATCCCTGTCTCAAAAATCAAAAAAACAAAAACAAAAACAAACCCACCAAAACCAGGTTGATCTGCATAGAAGGAATATGTCTGAAAACAAAAAATAGTGATGGGGCTTGACTGGCTACAGACCTTTTTGATTTAAAAAAAAAAAAAAAGGCAAGAGAACCTGCATTCAGATCCCTAGAATCCACATGAAAACAAGGTAAAGAGGTATGCACATATAACATCAGGTCAGTGGGGGTGGAAATTCCCAGGGCTCAATAGACAAGGGCTCGTCTAGCAAAAACAACCAGATCCAGGTTCAGTGAGAAACCATCTCAAAAAGTTAAAGCAGAAAGCAATAAAGGAAGACATTCTGCTATCAATCTCTGATCTCTACATGCACACACAAGTGCACACACATATAAACACAGAGCAGTATATACATCACATAATGTCAACATAACTAACATTATAAGCCCCATGATAAGGACAAAGACACAACATAATTTCTGCAGTATTCCTGCAAAACTAATAAGACCCTTTCTCAAAAAGACTCACTTCCAGCCTGGTAGTGGAGGTGCACACCTGGAATCCCAGCACTCAGGACACAGAGGCAGGCAGATCTCTGAGTTCCAGGCCAGCCTGTTCTACAGAGAAACCTGGCCAAGACAAAAAAAAAAAAATTAAGGGAAGCAGTCAGAAATATAAGAGAATTGTGTGTAATACTTTTTAACTTTAAAATTACTTTTAAAATAAAAAAAATAATATAAAATAGGAAAGGGCTGGAGAGATGTCGCAGAAGTCAAGAGCACTGCACTGGCTGCTCTTCCAGGTCTTGAGTTCAATTCCCAGCAAATACATGATGTCTCACAACATCTGTAATGAGATCTGGTGCCCTCTTCTGGCCTGCAGGGATACATGCAGACAGAACACTATAATAAACAAACAAATCTTAAAAAAAGAGGGAGAAAAAAATGCTCTAAGGGTTAGAGGACAACTTGCCAGAGTCAATTCTCTCCTTCTACTATGTGGGTCCTAGGGACCAAATGCAAGACATCAGCCTTGGAGGCAAGTGCCTTAACCATCTCAGTAGCCCTTACACAGTTTCTCAGTTACATAAAATTCTTTTTTTTTTTTTTTTTTGGTTTTTTGAGACAGGGTTTCTCTGTGGCTTTGGAGCCTGGAACTAGCTCTGTAGACCAGGCTGGTCTCGAACTCACAGAGATCCGCCTGCCTCTGCCTCCCGAGTGCTGGGATTAAAGGCGTGCGCCACCATCGCCCGGCTTACCATGTAAACTAATCTGCAGTGGCAAAAACTGACTAGTGATCACTCAGTAATGGAAGAGGCAAACAAAGAAGGGGCATAAGAAAACTTTGAAAAGTCACATGACAGATGTCCTTCACTATGTGTATAAGATTGGCGCCAAAATCAGCCTCCCAAAACACATATGCACCCATACATCTGTGGATACGAAGATCAAGAGGTGCTCTAATCCTTTATATAAAAATGACAGGCTGGAGAGATGGTTCAGTGGTAAAGAGCACTGGCTGCTCTTCCAGCATTCCTGAGTTCAATTCCCAGCACTTAGATGGCTTCTCACAACCAAGTATATAACTTTAGTCCCATGGACTCCAATGATATCTTCTGGTGTGCAGACAAAACACATAATGCCGGGAGGTGGTGGCGTGCGCCTTTAAGCCCAGCATTCGGGAGGCAAGGGCAGGTGGATCTCTATGAGTTCAGGCCAGCCTGGTCTACAGAGCTAGTTCCAGGACAGCCTCCAAAGCTACACAGAGAAACCCTGTCTCAAAAAAATAAAACACACACACACACACACAAATAAATCTTTGGCAGAGTGGTGTTGCGGGAGCTCCTTCCGCTCCTTCAGCCAATAGCCACTGAGATGCCAGCCCACTGGGGCGTGGTCTCTCTCCCTTTAAAAAAGCGGCCACTTCCCTCTGCTCTTGCTCTGGCGCTCTGGCTTTTGGTTCCGCTTCCGGCGAGTAGGCTCCATTCCTGATTGCGCAGAGGGGTGTTGTCTGGGACGGTGATCTGTAAGTTTTTCTCCCTTAAAATAAAAAACCTCTCTAATAATCTAATTCCAAACTGGTGTGGGATTGTTTGTGATTTACACCTTCAGAGTGGGAGGCAGAGGCAGGCAAGATCTCTTGAGTTCAAGGCCAGTCTAGTCTATAAAGCATGTTCCAGGATAGCCAGAGTACACAATAAAAACCTGTCTTGAAAAACAACAACAAAAAGAGAAAAACAACAAAATATGATAGTTGTACATAACCTATATGCATCCATCCACATACCAGTAAACAATCAATAGGTTACATTTAATATCAATACAAAGTAAATACTATAGAAACAATATATACACCAATTTCTTTCCTAGATATACTCAATCCAATCCATGGTCGAATCCTTGAATATAGAACCTATAAATACAAAGGACTGACTACATACGGCCACTATGCTGATTGCAGTGGCAGTTTCGTGTGTGTGTGTGTGAGAGAGAGAGAGAAACTCTCAAATTAGGGTGAGATATTCAGCATGAACGAAGTCCTCAGTTCAATTCCCAAGGACATAAAAATAAAAAAAAAATCTGGGCAGTGTGGGCACATGCCTTTAATCCCAGCATATGGGAGTCAGAGCGAGACAGATCTCCTGAGTCCACAGCCTGCTTGGTATAGAGTGTGTTTCAGGACAATCAGGGCTACACAGAGAAATACTGTCACAGGAAAAAAAAAAAGCTTCAGATATACACACTATATACTTTATGGAAAATGAGAGTCAGGTACAGTGGCACAGGCCTATGACCACAGCACTTCAGAGGTAGAGGCAGGAGGATCAGGAGTTATACAAGGTCATCAGTAGCTACAAACTGAATGTGAGACCAATCTGGCTATATGAAAACTTGTAGTAAAAAAACACAAGTTAAAACAAAAAGTTTACGACCACTTAGTATAAATTAACAAGTAAAGCTAGGTGTGATGGCACATGCTTTAATCCCAGTAGAGCCAGGCAAATCTCTTAATTGTAGGCCAACCTGGTCTACAAAGTGAGTTTAACAGCCAGAGCTATACAGAGACTCCCTGTCTCAAAAATAAATAAATATATAAATAAATAAATAATAAAGTAGCTAGCAAGTGATAAGTCTTCAGCACTTCTAATATTTCTTTAAGCCATCCAATGAATCTATCAACTATTTCTATCGATTAGTAAATCCTTTATTACTAAAATATATAAATTTATGCTGTACTATTCATTCACAATTAACCAAAGCAGCAGTCTATGTGTCTGTTCATCAACAGATAAACATGTAAAAACGTGAAATATATTATGCAAAACAGAGTATTATACAGTCATGAAATCAGGACACTGGCAGGAAAATGGATGGAACTGGAAAATATTAAGAGATCAAAACAAATACCTCATGTTTCCTCTTGTATAGAGTTTAGATTTAAAATTGTGAGTGTGTATGTGTGTAGTTATATAGGAGGGGAGTCACAAAACTAGAAAGGAGACTGAGATGAGGGGAAAGGGTAGGAAACAGAAGGCTACAGAATCCACAAAGTAAATAAAAGCAGGAATCAGGATTAACTGAGGAGAGGAAAGGAGCAGGGGAGGGGACAGAGGAGAACAAAGCATAATGGCATGCACCTATGATCATTCAAGAAAACCATTATTTTTTTTACATTAAACTGAAAAAAGAAAATTAAAGCCAGGTGGTGGCAGTGTACACCTTTAATCTCAGCATTGGGGAGGGGAGCGCGCAGAGGCTAAAGGATCTCTAAGAGTCCAAGGTCAGCCTGGTTTACAGAGCAAGATTCAGGATAGCCAGGGTTACAGAAACTCAGGTGCCTTTAGAGTAATGTTCAAGTCTTATATAGATAAAGGTCAGCTTCCTTAGCATATACAAAGACCCTATATAAATTCAATCTCAACCTACCTTTAAGATACCCGATAGCTAATCACTATAAGATGTACCAGTACCATTGTTTTTTATTGGTTTGTCTGTTTCTAATTCTTTTTCTTTGGAGACAGAGTCTTTCTACCTAGCCCTGGCTGTCCTGGAACTCAATATGTAGATCAGGCTGGCCTTGAACTCACGAAGATTTGTAGCCTCTGTCTCCAGAGTGCTGGGATTAAAGACGTGTGATAGCTGCCTTAAATATACTTTTATTTTTCAAGCTGGTCAAATTCTATGCTGTGCTGGCTAGTCTCTTGGCAACACAACACAAGTTAGAGTTATCTGAAAGGAGAGCATCTGAACTGAGAAAATCAGGCTATTAGTGAGCCTGTAGGACATTCTCTTCTTTATTAATTAATAGGGGAGAGCCCAGCCCATTGTAGGTGGTTCCATCCCTGGGCTGGTGGTCCTAGTTTCTGTAAGAAAACAGGCTGAGAAAGCCAAGCGGGGCAAAACAGTAGGCAGCACCCCTCCATGACCTCTGTATCAGCTCCTGCCTCCAAGATCCTGCCCTGTGTGAGTTCCTGTCCTGACTTCTTTCGAAGTGATATGGAAGTGCAAGCCAAATAAAGTCTTTCCTCCTCAACTTGCCTTTTGGTCATGGTGTTTTATCACAAAAATAGAAAAACATATGCTAACTTCAAGACACCCTGCCAACCAGGTGTGGCGTCAAACACTTATAATTCTAGCACCTCACAAGCTAAAGCAAGGACAAACCTGGAGTTCAAGCCAGCCTTGACTATATATGATCTTTTCTCAAAAGACTCCCTTCTGGGGCTGCAGAAACAGTTCGGTGGTTAAGAACACTGGGTGCTCCTCTATGGGACCTGAGTACAATTCCTAGCATCCACATGGCAGCTCAGGACGGTCTGTCCCAGGGATTTATGCACCAGTCATGCACATGGTGCACACATATACGTATAGGCACATAGGCAAAAGACCCATACACATAAATCTTAAAAAGTCACTTCCAAAAGTCACTTTGTACTTTGTCTCAGAAGTTCTTCCCCCATTATCAGATTTTAGAAGTAGTCCCGCTTTTTTTAAAAAATATTTATTTATTTATTTATTTATTTATTATGTATACAATGTTCTGTCTGTGTGTATGCCTGCAGGCCAGAAGAGGGCACCAGACCTCTTTACAGATGGTTGTGAGCCACCATGTGGTTGCTGGGAATTGAACTCAGGACCTTTGGAAGAGCAGGCAATGCTCTTAACTGCTGAGCCATCTCTCCAGCCCCAGTAGTCCCGTTTTTTAATGTATCTCCATAGGCCCTTCTTCATTGTATTACACTATTGTTAAACCATTTAATGTAGCAACTGTTAAGAGATGAGGGGCCAGTTGGGCAGCGATGGGAAACACCTTTAATCCCAGCACTCAAGAGGCAGGTGGATCTCTGAGTTCAAGGCCAGCCTGGTCTAAAAAGTGAGTTCCAGGACAGGTTCCAAAGCTACATAGAGAAACCCTGTCTTGAAAAACCAAGAGGCCTAGGAAATAAAAATATACACCCGACACACTGTGGATCACTAATAAAGAGCTCCTGAAATGCATGAAAAAAATGGATTTCTTTCCTTTCTTGGACCGCGAATCTTACTCACCTGGATCTTGGCACCTTTATATCTGATGACACCAGGCACAGTGGTCAAAGTAGTGAATTCATACGCTGCCACTTCAGAATATACTCCTGCTAGATTGCTTAGCAGAGTTGACTTCCCCACAGATGGGAAACCCACAAACCCAATTCGAGCATCACCTGTCTTAGCCACATCAAAACCTGAAACATTAACAAACATCAGAAGACAGCAGTTATCCTTGGATGCATTACCACCCACCTAAGTCCTTACACATTTTTGTTAGTGTTTCTCTAACTTTCTGCGGCTTACTTCTGAAATAGAATTCAAGCATAAAATTTACAATTCAATTTAATGCAGTACTTAATTAAAACAAGGTAATCCATTATTACTTAAATTATAATTATTATATTATAATTAAATTATAATAATTATTAAATTATTTTTGATATAATATTTAAATAATGAAGGTTAGCCAGGTATGGTGATGTATACCTGTAATCCCGGTGGTTGGGATGTAAAAAGCAGAAGGATCCCAAGTTTGGAGGCCAGGCTGGAATATCTGAGGTCATCTCTCAAAACCACAATATGCTGTGGCTGGAGCACTAACTGCTCTTGCAGAGGCCCAGACTCAATCCTCAGCACTCACAAGGCAGCCCTCAATGATCTGTAACTCCAGTCCCAGAGGATCTAATGGATCTGATATGCTCTTCTGGCCTCCGGGGACACTTCACACACAGAGTACATAGATATATACATTCAGGCAAAACACCCAACCACTCACCCAACAAATAACACAGGAGTTAGAGATGGCTCTTTGCTGCTCTTGTAAAAACCCTGGCTTGGTTTTTAACACGCACATCAAGCAGCTTTAAGTGCAGTTCCAAGAGATTTGATTCTTTCTTATGGCCTCTGAAAGCACCAGTGCACATACATACAAGTAACCACACAGACACAGACAGACAGACACACAAAGATACTTTTTGTTTTGTTTTGTTTTTTTGAGATAGGATCTTACTATACACATCTTGCTATTCTGGAAGTCACAGAGATCTATCTGCCTCTCCTTCCAAGTCCTGGGATCAAAGGTGTGTACCACTATGCCAAACACATACATAAATTTAAAGTATCATCTGGGTAGTGGTGGTGCATGCTTTTAATCCCTGAACTCAGGAGGCAGAGGTAGGCAGATCCCTGTGAATGAGGCCAGTATGGTCTATAGAGTGAGTTCCAGGACAATCAAGGCTAACAGAGAAACCCTGTTTAGAAAAAAAAACAAAAACAAACAAAAATTTAAAATATCAAAATAAATAAAGTCAGACATAGTGTTACATAGTGTTAATCCCAGCAATTCAGAGGCTGAAGCAAGGTGGCACTCTGAAAGGTCAATTCCAACTTGGCCTACATAGAGACCCTGTCTCAAACAAAACAAAAACACACACACATACACAAAAAAACAGGGTGTGGACTTGGAGCTCTACGTTTAACTCTGGTTTGGATTTTATCTTATATCTGAGACTAGTGTAATCATGGTTTTTGATAAGGATATACTTAAGTAGTCTAGGTTGCACTGGAACTTGCAATCCTCCTGCCTCTAGTCCCAAGTACTGTGTTACCAGCTTTTGCGATTTTGTGTGTCTATGCTGGTGTTCTTAAACCTGTGATGTGTAAGCCAGAGGTTGACATCAGATGTTATCCTGGATCAATTTTTACTTTACCTGTTAAGACCTGGAACTCACCTTCAGCTAGACTGTTGGCCAGAAAACCCCAGGAACCCTACCTCTACCTTTCTAGCACTGGGAGTAGAAGAGCTTTTTCCATGGGATTGGGATCTGAACTCAGGTTCTCGCACCTGCACAGCAAGCACTGAACCAACTAAGGCCTTCCTTGTATTTTAACAATGGCTGCAACTAAGTTCAGAGCTGTTGGTGGGTCTTTCTAGCAAGTATGCAAAATATACCGCATTCCTTTGAGTCCTAATCACAGCTCTCTCCAATTTACTATTTCTGCTTTCATAGTCCAGCCTCTTTGCACCAACTTCTTACTTCAACCTCACTAAAGCAACAGATACACACACCTGTGACCCCTAACAACAGCTACACATACCTGTGACACCTAGCAACAGCTATACACACCTGTAACCCATTGCTGGCTTACAGGCAGCTCTTCAGAGCTTGACAAATAGTCTAGCTGAACTGGTGAGTTCCAGAATCAGTAAGATCTACCTCAATTGGAAAAAAATAAATAAAGGCAAATAAGTAAAAATAAAGTAGCCAGACATGGTGGTGGCCTTTAATTCCAGCACCTGGGAGGTAGAGCCCAGCAGATCTCTGTGAGTTCTAGGCCAACCTGGTCTACAGAGAGTAGTTCTAGGACAGTCAGAGCTGTTACAGAGAAACCCAAAGCATTGGGTTTACACAAAAACAAAAAGCATTCACAGAAGCCAGATGTACTGGTGCATGTTTTTTTTTGTTTTGTTTTTTTCTTGGTTTTTCGAGACAGGGTTTCTCTGTGGTTTTGGAGCCTGTCCTGGAACTAGCTCTTGTAGACCAGGCTGGTCTCGAACTCACAGAGATCCGCCTGCCTCTGCCTCCCGAGTGCTGGGATTAAAGGCGTGCACCGCCCGGCCTGGTGCATGTTTTTAATTCCAGCACTTGGGAGGTAGAGGCATGTGGATCTCTGTGAGTTCGAGGACAGCCTTGTTTACATAGTGAGTTCCAGGACAGCCAAGAGCTAGACAGTCTCAAAAGAAACAAATAATTCACAGGCATATGAATACATACATATACACACACCTCTGACATATTAGTTTAATAGAAACCACACACACACACACACACACACACAATAGATGGAATCACAAACCTTCTCCTGGCCCACCACCACCGCCACCTTTCGGAGTGATGAGCTCTCTTCGAAGCTTGGCAAGGCGAGCCTTAAGCAGCCCAAGGTGATGTGCTGTAGCCTTGTTCTTTTGAGTCCGAGCCATCTAATAAGGGAAGAAACACAGCCATAAACCTGCAGCACTTCAGAAAAGAAAGTATCCCGAATCTTCCCAAAAGCTGAGAGCATGCATAATCTTTTATTTTTCGAGGTCCTACTAATGTCAGTGAGCCCATTTCATCTCATTTCATTTATTTGTGGATTTTTGGGATAGAGTCTCTCTATGTAGTCCTGAGGGTCCTGGAACTCCCTATGTAAACCAGGTTGGCATTGAATTTACAGTTTCACCTGCCTCTACCTCTGCTTCCTAAGCACTGCCTAAATATTTTTTTAAAAAGAAAAATCCAAGACTGGCTAATGCAGTAGTTCCAGAACGTCCAGGGCTTACGTAGAGAGATCTTGTCTCCAAAAAAAGAGTGAGGGGAGGCGAAAACCCAGGTTCAACTAGAAAAAAATGAGAGCCCATGTGATAGCACCACGTCACTCCAATTCCTATCCACAAATGGAACTAACACCCACCTACAGGATTCGTTTCTACTGGACCCGGTCAAAAACAGGATCACCATTTTACACACTTTAAAAAGCCCTGAACTTCGTCGGGTGGTGGTGGTGCATGCCTTTAATCCCAGAACTCTGGAGGCAGAAGGAGATTTTAATCCCAGAACTCAGGAGGCAGAAGCAGGAGAACTCTGTGAGTTCGAGGCCAGCCTGGTCTTCAAAGAGTGCTCCAGGTAAGGCTCCAAAGCTAAACAGAGAAACCCTATCTCAAAAACAAAACAAATCAAAAAGCTCTGAACTTCTCAGGCATCACACACTATCCGGGTAGAATCGATTTACTTTTAGATTTTTTTTCTTTTTTACCGCCACCATCCATGACGTGCAAAAGGGGGGATCATCGGGATTAGAGTGGCGGGTAGGCAAGACTTTATGTGATCACGTCACGGAGTCTGGAAGAGATCGGTGTAAAAGCAAGAAAAACAGAAATAGCAAGACATACGCTGAATACCAGATAGGGTACCTGCCAAGGACTAGGTGTGGGGCCAGGAGGTGGAAGAGGGAGCCCCTAAAGTTAGCTGAGGGGCCCAGGCCCACAGGCGCTCAGGAAGGGGGCAAGGAGCCGAGGCGGTGCAAGCCTGGGCTGAGGAAGCGGGAGGGAGTTGGTGGCAGGCACTGGGCGACGCAGTCGACGGTACATAGGAGCAGCGGCACCGCCTGGGAAGGGAGGCGCCCAGCGCGCCCTTTACCTCGGCTTCGATCTCCGCGATCTTCGCTAAGGTCCCGCTCATGGTGACCACAGGTCGAGGCGGCGCTGGCCTTCACACCACCTAAACCCCTTCACTCGCCGACCGCGCCACAGGCCACCGCCGCACTGCGCAAGCGCGGGACTTGCTGCTTCTCGCGACGCGGTTCCGCGAGAGCTCCGCGCCGAGACTCATGGTGCCCGACATTCTCCGCCTTCCCCGCCGACTCCGCCCCGTTCCGCCAGCATGTGCGGAGTCATAGAGCCCGCGGCCGTGGTGACCAGAGCGGTCACTCGGGCTGGACTCCCAGAGCGCGCCGAGGGTCGCGCGCAGCTCGGCCCCACCCCGCCGGATCTGCCGGTGCGGAGCGTGCGGGCCGCCAAAGACCCAGACCCAGCGCCCGGTTAAGTGTCTTCAGATACTTTGGCTTCCTAGGTTGTCGAGAGCCCAATCTTCAACCTCTAGGGGGGAAAAAAAATTAATATTAACAACAACAACAAAAGAGTTTGAGGAATCCTTTGTTTGCCGGACATCCTGAGCAGAGAGGGTGGCACTCGATGAGCCACGGTTAATGCGTGGATTGAATGAGGAACTCCAGAGAGAATCGTTACTTATAACAGCTGTAACACTGAAAATATTGGAAATTATGTTAGCACTCATTAGAAGGGAATAGATAAATAAAAAAGGCACCTGTATCCTGTAAAATATAATTACAGCCGCTGAAATGTGCACATGTAGTCTGCCTGGAAGACTGTCCCGGGTTTGCTAGATGGACGGACAGACAACTGCGCCCTGTAGTGATGCCCTCCGTGCTGCTTGTTAGAAGTTCACTTAGGCGTAGTTAGACAAGTACGGGAACATTCTGTTTCAGGTGCCCAGGATGGAACCTAGAGTCCTGAGTGTTCAAGGCAAGCACTTGAGTACCACACACCAGGCTAAAAAGTACATTCTTAGAAAAGAAAATAAAACAATCAATCCTAAAGCAAGGTTCTTGTTTCCTGTAATGCCAGCCACTCAGGAAGCTTAAGCCTGGAGGGTTCCTTGGACCCAGAAGTTGAACACAAGCCTGTAAAGGAAAGTGCTTAGCCTCCTATCAGCAGGATAAGACAAAGGGAGCCTTTTGCCTTGTTATTATTTACTTGGGCTGGGTTTTTTTGGGGGGGAGGGGTGTCTTTCATTTTCTTTTTATGAGACAGTGTCTCATTGTGTAGTTTTGGATGACCTGGAACTCATGTTGACCAGGCTGGCCTGGAACTCACCCAGATCCTCTCTCTGGCCTGCTGGGACTGTAGGAGTATACCACCATTCCTGACCCACCTTTCACTTTTGATTTGATTTTTTTTTTCTTTTTAGCTAATTTTGCTTGGTTCTATTTGTCTCTAAATTTTTCCCCCAAGACAGGGTTTCTCCATAGCTTTGGAGCCTGTCCTAGAATTTACTCTGTAGACCAGGCTGGCCTTGAACTAACTCACAGAGATCTGCCTGTCTATGACTCCAGAGGGCTGGGATTAAAGGCATGTGCCACCACCGACCGGTTTCTAAATTTTTTTGAAAATTAGGTATTTTACTTAGAGCATGTCATGTCTCTGGAGATTCTTTTTATATACAATTTATTTTGTTTTAGGTGCATTGTTGTGAGGGTGTCAGATCCCCTGGAACTGAAATCACAGACAGGTATGAGCTGCCATGTGGGTGCTGGGAATTGCACCTGGGTCCTCTGGAAGAACACCCCGTGCTCTTAAACACTGAGCTATCTCTCCAACCCTGTGTCTAGAGCTTGGTGCTCATGTGGAGGTCATAAGACAGCGTGGGTGTCAGGGATCAGCTTGGATCCTCAGGCTTGGCAGGAGGCACTCAGCCAACTCACCGGCCCTCCACATAGTTCTGTGTTTCCATTTTATCCAGACTGATTCAAATTACTGTGCAATAATACAATTTAAATTTTAAAAACCTTCTCTCCCTCAAGTGTTTTGTGGCAAAGTAGCCAGCTTGCCCAGGATTGTTGTGCTTTTCTGAAAGCAGCGTGCTCCGTGTGAGTGAGTTCCTGTTGATAGATTAATCCACTGGGAATTGACAGACCAGACTTAGCCCATACAGATGACCTCCACCCAGCCAGAGCAAGGTTTATTTATATAAGTTTGTAAATAAAAACTATTCCAGCTTGCCAGGAATAACGATGAGAAATTGTATCTGGCTGAAGGGAGGGGACAGGGGAAAGAAAAGCTTTTACAGAAAGTTCCTGAAAGACTCAGGGGTTTGCTTCTTCTCTTTAACCTCAGCCTTTTCATAAATAAATTAAGGAATAATGAGGTAACTCCATCCAGCACCATTAGTAATGGAGAAGGGAAGACTAGACAAGGAAGTCCAGCTGGAGTGGGGCATGATCAAAAAATGCATCTTAAAAGACAGATAAAATCAAATCAGCGGCCCTTACCAACCTGGAGTGCTCGCTCGTGGAATTAATTGGATGACAATTTCAAGGCATCACTGCTCTGGGAGGAGGGTGCTCCTTAACAAATCTGTCACATAAGGTCTGCAGCTAAGTTAACCATTTTGTTATCCATAGTGTTCCAAAGGGTAATGTTCATCTTCAGAGTGTTGGTGGCCACTGTATTCATCCAATAATCGTTTACTGAGCTCTGATGGTACCTGGTACTGTGACAGGTCTGGGACAACAGAGAGTGTGATACTGTCCTTAGTGTTATTAAGTATGCATATCAGGAGCAAATCTAGGCCCTTAAATTCAGCTCTTTACAGCCATAGCCCAGGTCCCCTTGGTATTAGCTGCTGGTGACAGGGAGATCCTGTTTTCCAGAGAACAAGAATAAGCCGGTGGAGCCGACTGGTGGCTCTCACCTATAATTCCAGCACTTGGGAGGCTGATGCAGATTGCTGTGGGTTTGGGGCTAGTTAGGATACACGGTGAGTTCCAGAATAGATTAGCTCAAAAAAATAAGTAAAACACTAATGTCAGATGTGGTGCACATCTGTAATTTCAAAAATTGAGAGGTGGAGGCAGGAGAATGGGGAGTTCAAGGGCTGCCTATGCTACAAGGGTCCTCATCTCAAGAAGAAAAAAAAACCTAAAGCAGAAGCCTCCTTCCTCTCTTGCCAGATTTTACCCATTATTAACGAACTGCAGTATTTTATATGTCTCTGCTTTCTTGAGCACTTGTGGGTTTTGAATGATTTGTGAAACAGGGTCTTGTGTGTAGTCCAAGCGTAGCACATGCTTTCATGCTCAACACTGTTTTCTCTGACCGTGCCTTTTCATCAGGCCTATCTGATTAGCCTCATAGTTGTCTGATCCTTATGGTCTCTGAGAAACATTCCTTGGTAGTCAAGGCTGGGTAGGGGCTCTAATCTTTGGCTTCCCCCGTAGCATGTTTTTTGTTCCTTTTTTTTTCTTTAAAAAACAAAACAAAACGGGGGCTGTGTGGAGCAATGACTCAGCAGTTAGGAGCCCTTGCTACTCTTACAGAGGATCCTGGTTTGGTTCCCAGCCATGCATGAGGGCTCATAATACTGTAACTCCAATCCCAAGGGATGACCAATGCTCTCTTCTGGCCCTAAGGAGACCAGACATGCATGAGACACAAAGACAAGCACACAAACAGAACGCTCATGTACATGAAATTAAATAAATCGAACTTTAAACATCTATGTATGTCTGTGTGTGTACAAGCAAAGACAGGCTAGTGGAGGTCAGAGGACAGCTCCTTCTCCTCCCACCGTGAGACCCAGGCTGGAACTCCTGTCATCAGGTTTGAGCAGAAAGCGCTTTTGTCAAATGAACCATCTGCCAGTCTTTCAGTGGGGTTGGGGTGGAGGAGTGGCAAGGTCTCATGTAGCCCAGGCTGACCTTTGTTAGATTTTGAAGCACAGAGTACAGAGACAAAAGGCAGGAAAGAGCCCAGAGTCTGACCTCCTCAGATAAGACTGTGTTTATTAGCACACACAGTGAGGGACAAGAGCCTTCTCTGGGGATGGGAGTTCTACCAACGGGAGGAGCATATTTGGAGTTTATCTGGAGACCAAGGGAATGAGGAAGCACGCAGCTATAGGGGGCTACTGTGGATCTGAGCTGTCTTGTTCAATCTCAGCAAACATTCCCCTCCAGGCTGGGGCTGACTAATAACGGCTGAGCAAGGCCAGCTGTAATATCATAGGAATCCTGTTTTTACAAGCAAGGCACTCTGTCAAGTTTCAAATTGGTATGTGACTAAGAGTGCTGAGCAACAGGCATGTGCCATCATGCCTGGGTTTATGTACTAGTTCCACTGAGTACAGGGTTTTGTGTGTGCTAGGCAAGCACTGTATTTTTCCTTTTCCTTTTTTTCCAGACAGGGTCTTGCTACATGACCCAGGGTTTCAAACACTCCATATTCCTCCCTCCATGTTCCCCAGTGCTAGGACTGCAGGCATGGGCTACAATGCCCAGTTTAAAAAAACATTTAGCTGGGCGTGGTGATGCACACCTTTAATCCTAGCACTCAGGGCAGAGGCAGGTGGATCTCTGTGAGTTCAGGGCTAGGTTATATCAGGCTGATTTATATAGTGAGTTTCAGAACAGCCAGAACTATGAAGAGAGACCCTGTCCCTCCCACCAAAACTAAACTAAATAAACAAAATTAAAGAGCCTACAGAATGGCTCAACGAACAAAGCTTCTTGCTTCCTAACAATGTGAGTTTGGTCCCCCATAGTCACGTAAAGTAGAAGGCGAGAACTGACCCCATTAAGTTGTCTTCTAACCTTCACACTCAGGCTACAGGATGTTCAACACCCCAAACACAATATTTGTTTAATGCTGGCGAGAGCACAGAGAGACAACTCAGTGGTTAAGAGCACTGGCTGCTTTTCCAGAGGACATGAGTTCAATTTCCAGTGTCCACATGGCAGCTCACAACTGTCTAACTCCATTTCCAGGGGGATCCAATGCCCTCTTCTAACCTCTGCAGGCACTTCATGCACGTGGTGAACAGACATACATGCAAGCAAGTAACCATCCATCCAAATGAAGAGAATTTTATTTTAAGTTTTTAAGCACGGTCTGGAGAGATGGTTCAGCAGCTCATACTGCTCTTGCAGAGGACCCAACTCAGTTCCCAGCATAGCATCAGTCAGGTTACAACCCACTCTAACTCCAGCTCCAGAAGACCCAACACTTCTGGCCTCAAGTGTACATCCACCTGGCAATTTAAA